AAGCAAGGAGGCGCCCGCCGCAGCGGCAACGCGCTTTGAGTTGGTGTTGGTGGGGACAGTGGTGCTGGCTGCCGCACCCACCAGCCTCTCCGCTGTAGTGCCATCGTTTTTGGATGCCGGGCAGGACACGCAGCAGAAGCAGCCGCAGCAGCAGCAGCAGCAGCAGCATGAGGCTGTTCAACAGCGATTGGGGCGGCGGCGCAGCTTGCAGCAGCCATCGCATCAGCCAGAGATTGTGGCAATGGGCAGTGAGGGCAGCACGCCTGCAGAGCCGATGCTGGTTGTCGGCGGTGAGGGAGGTTTGTCAGCTTACAGGGTGGGGGTGGATGATGCGGGCGTGGCGGCTGACGAGGCCGTGGAAGGCGAGCTGGTGCGCGCCATGGAGGTCGACTCGCCACCAGCCTTGGAGCAGCAGCAGCAGCAGCAGCAGCACGTGCACCAGGCTCAGGCGGACGGCAGGCGTGGGCAGCCGCGAGAGCTGGGCTGGCAGCGGCGTGTTGCGTGCGCATTGGCAGCCGACTGCTCTGCCTTTGCGCACACGTGTGTGATTGCCCTGCGTCCACTGCCAGCGAGCAGCGGTGGTGGGCTTGTGGCGCTGGAGGCGCTGGGCTCCGCCACGGTGGTACAGCTCGTCTGTTCGCCGCGCGGTCAGATGCTGCTGCTACCGGTCGCCACAGACCGCTCCGGGGCGATGGCCGTCGCCGCCGTGCCCGCAGACAGGCACGGCCCGCACAGCAGCTCTGGGGGCGGCGCTCTGCTGATGGCGCTGCACCCCAACGGCCTGCTGCGCGTCGAGCGGGACCCCGCGCGCGAACAGGCGCACCTGGGCGCTTGCTGGCGCGCAGCGGCGGCAGCGTATGAGGCGGGCGTGCTCGCGGCAGGCGAGGCAGGGGCCGGCGCCAGGGGGCCAGAGAACGTGTGGATTGGGGAGGGGGAGGCACGGCCGCCGCTCGGCCTCCCCGCAGAGGGGCCCTTGGCCTGGCAAGCACAGCCAGGCGGGGGCAGGCCCGCCGTCGCGGGCGAGGGGGCAGTGCCTGCGAGGTCGCCGTACGACCTGCTGCGGTGTGACGCGTCCAATGCACCGCCGCTGCTGGCAATCGCCTCGACAGCCGCGCCGCCTGGGCCATCGGCGCTGTGCGCTGTGCAGCTGGGCCTAGTGGCGGAGCCGGCTGAGGAGCAGCAGCAGCCAGCAGACGGGCAGGCGGGCGTCGCGCTCCACGCGCCCGGGCCCAGCAGCAGCCAGCCCAGTGGGCCTGCCAGCGGTACCCCTCCCTTCCTCGTCTTCACCTCGGCCGGTGCAGTGGTGGCAGTGTCAGAGGCAGCCAGGGGGCCCGAGGCGGTGCGCCTGCTTGAGCTGCAAGACGCCGCACGGCGCCGGAGGGCGGCCCGCTGCGGCGGCCTCGTGCCTGCTGGCTGTTTTGAGCTGTCCCTACCAGAGTCTGCGGGTGGGCCAGCGGCAGCCAGCTCAGCAGCCCTTGCAGCGGCTGCCACCGCCGAAGCGTGGGATGCGGCGGCATATGGCAGGCAGGGCCGCATGGGGCGGCAGGCTGTTGACGCGCTGCAGCAGGCGGAGGGACAGGCGGTGGAAGGGGTGGAGGGCGGGGGAGAGGCGCTGCCCAGCTATGCAGTGGATCTTGACTTGCTGGCAGCTGAGGCGGGTGCCGACACTGGTTGGCGTGACAGCCCGGAGGTTGCCGCCCGGGTGGCTCGCATTGTATCGAGCATGCTGTGACGCCTCGCAAATTCCGCATTCCAGTGCCCTTTTGCTGGCGGTGTTGTGATTCATTCTACGTCTGGGCGAGGGGACATGTCAAGCTGTCAATGCTACGTAAGATGCAGTTCAAAATACAGGAGTCAGAATCAGGACAACTGTAAGTGTTACAGCCTGCGCGGATACCACCACAAACCAGCACACATGCAGCGCAGGGGGTTGAAACGCATCAGCTGAGGATATAGTCATAGGGAAGGCAGCGGCCAGTGTGCGTAGGTTGAAGCACTCCTCGGACGTTCTAGTTCTGACAAGCATGTGAGTATCCAGCCCCACACCCACCCCTTCAGTCTCTCCACCCTTCCAGACAAAAAACGCCCATGTGCCGCGGCGACAAACCCAGCCGGCATTGGCAAACATTATTAGCGAGGCGCCCGTACTGCTGGCAGGAGTGGATGGGCAGCTCAGACCCCTGCCCCCAGCCACGCGTGTCGGTCTATGAAGCTGGATCCTGGCCACTGTATGTTCTCGAGGTAGCAACCCAGTGTATTGCACCTCAACAGCCAGCTTGAAACCCTCGTGAGCAAAACGGAAGCGGCGAAGCGCCGAGGCAGAGGCCTTGGAGGCTGCTCATCCAACCGTCTTTGAAAACCCCCACCCCTTGTGTGTGATTGTGGTGGTTATCTGGTGAGGGGCACTGGCCGCCTGGGTGGGTGCCGCCCCCCCTGGAGCAGGCTGCTGCTCCTTGGAAGAAGCCTGAGGACTAGGCAATGGCGACGGCGATGGCGATGGCGACGGCGACGGCGACGGCGACGGCGACGGCGACGGCGACGGCGACGGCGACGGCGACGGCGACGGCGATGGCGATGGCGATGGCGATGGCGATGGGGACGGGGACGGGGACGGGGACGGCGAAGGGGATGGGGATGGGGACGGCGAATCCTTGGCAGAACTTGCGCCTGACTGGGCGCCGGCGCCAGCGCCAGCCCCAACCTGAGCCCCAGCCTGAGCACCGGCGCCAGCCCCAGCCTGGGCCCCAGCACCAGCCCCGGCTTGAGCGCCTGCGCCGGCGCCGGCCTGAGCACCCGCACCCGCGCCTGCCTGGGCCCCAGCACCAGCCCCGGCCTGGGCGCCCGCACCAGCACCTGCCTGGGCGCCCGCGCCAGCCCCGGCCTGGGCGCCTGCGGCGGCGCCTGCCTCAGCGCCCGCGCCAGCCCCGGCCTGAACACTGGCACCAGCCCCAGCCTGAGCCCCAGTGCTGGCACCAGCCCCAGCCTGGGCCCCGGCTTGAGCACCTGAGGCTCCCTGCTGTGGGGCGGCGACTGCCTCGCCGCTTGTTGCTGCGGGGCTGGGCGAGGGGCTGGGGCTGGCAGGGGCCGCGTGGGAGCTGTGGGTGCAGGGGGCATGCGGGGTGCAGGGGTGCATGCCTTCGGCTACTACAGCACACACCTAGCTGGCAGCACCAGCACCGCCTGCAACCCGCGCATCAGTGCTCTTCACCCTTGCAAACCTTGCAGGGTTTGTAGTACTTCAGCGCTACGCGCGCCACAGCCTGTGGCGCGCGTACTGGCAGTACGCATCCAGAATGTTTCCAATGGCCCATCTCACCTCACACCCTGCACAGGGGGCGATGCTGTTGCGATGGGGGCGACCCCGACCAGCATGTGGTGCTTGGCGTACAGGGGCGAGTCCAGGATGGCGTTGCTGGCCTGCAAGTATTTGAGCGCCATCGATGCAAGTTGTGCGTCAGGCTGTTGGTTTTCAGGCACGCACCCGAGCTGATGGAGCGGTCAGTTTGTTCCGTGATCCATGACAACAGCACACCGCACCTCCAACTGACAGGCGACAGGTGTCACAGTGTTTCCCCAGTACATACCCCTGTGGTGCTTGCATCCCTTGAGGGACAGCTCACCCCATAGGCAGTTGTGGGCAGGCTGTATCCGAGGTGCCCAAACATTGAGAGCAGTTTGCGAGGCGACACAGGAAGCGATTCACCACCTGCCCCCTCGGCCATGGTGGCTGCCAGGGCCATCAAAACCGCAATCAAAGCGCGTGGCGCCATGCTTGCTCGCGTGCACACTGGTCAGGAAAGGCCCCGACACTTGCGGAGCGACGAGGTAATTTGTTGCCGTCGCAACGCCGGCCCTGGACGATAGAATGCGGTGACGCAGAGCTATAGATATTTGATCATCCAAGCGACTCAATTTGTTGATATTGGAGCCTTGCCAAGGATGGCCGTTCCCAAACAAACTTACCTCGGACTGGCTATCCAGTTTCAGGCTCTGATGTTGCTTGTTCCTTGGATGCCGCGACCAAATGGCCACGCGTTTGACTTTGCTGCAGTTGTGGTATTATTTGCCTGTGGGTGGCAAGTCCATGGTCAGGTGGGCAACAACTCGCCTTGCGCAATTCAGATTGGTATGTCACACTGCTGCAGGTAGCGGTAATGTATTGCTCACGGCAAGCATGAACTCATCTGTAAGAGCTCAACACACATGAGTGCATTTGTGGCATCATTTCTGGCCGACCCCCGTGGCAGTGCGGCGTCATCCCATGCCACCCATGCCACTCCAGTCAACTGCCGTCTGAACCCGTTCCAACACACTCGCTAGCAGATGCATGTTCTTGCTAGCAGTCACATTGCAAGTGATGTGAGCAGCGTACTGTACTCACACATGCTTGTGGTGACAGAAACATAGATGTCCCGGTCATGTGTTGAGATGCCAGTAAGCCTGCCACAACCCCAGCTTGGGGGAATCAATTTATCGACATGGCAAACCCATCAATAAATGGTGGTGTCACCTGTGACAACAGCGTTGAGCGTGCCGTTGCGGCACCCCCCCCCCCCCCGCCCCCAAAAAACGACACTTCTCATTCCGGCACAAAAGCACAATGCCAGCCAAAAAGCCTCTGTGTTGCCGTCGCCCGGCGCCCGTCACAGCACCCACTCCTCGAGCGCGTCGGACAGCCATGCGTCCGCCGCCGCCACAGCAGACCCCAGCCCATCCTCGTCAAACAGAGAGCTGCCGCTTGAGGGAGCAGCCACCGCTGGCCCGCTAAGAAGGCCGCTGCTGCCACCGCTTGCCATGCCGGCCGCATCAAAGTCGAAGGCCATCACCTGCCCCTGCTGCAGCCCAGAGAGCAGCGCCTGCAGCACCGCCGGGCTCATGCCAAAAGGAGAACCTGCTGCTGCCGCCACCGCGCCCAGCTGCTGCATGGCTGCCGCGCCAACAGCTCTCTGCAGCGCGGTCCCAGGAGAGGCGCCCTGCGCCACCGCCGCCGCCGCACTGGCGAGCACCAAGCTGGCTGCGGACGCGCCCACCCCCAGCAGTGCAAGGGGCGAAGTTGTGGCGCGGCTGACCTCCACCACTGTGACCTTGTCCTCCTGGGGAATGCCTGCCGCCTGCTTGGCCAGGGCGACCGCCTCCCACAGGCCGCCCACCACGTCCACAAGGCCCCTGGCGGCGGCGCGAGTCCCGGACCAAACACGCCCCTGGGCCACAGCCTGGTTGGAGGTTCAGTTCAGGAGGTTCAGTGCAAGTTGTTCAGGAAAGATTCAGCGAGCAGTTGCGTCGGCGAGCACTTGGGTGGTTGAGGGGGTACTGTGCAGCGGCCACTTGTGAGTGAGATTATGTAATGCATACACAGGAATACAGAGTAATACTTCACTCAACACGTTCACTCCCATGTTGGTTCAATCCCATGTTGGTTGTGCAGGTTGATGGTGACACACACCGCCCCCAAAATTCCTCAACCCCTGAGTTCCATGTCACCCGCGCCCCCACCTGCATATCCTCCACGGCCATGCCCCTGCTGGCCGCCGCCTTGTCGCGGAAGCTCTCGTAGGCAAACTGGGCGCTGCGGTCAAACAGCTCCGCCTCGTCAGCACTGAAGGAGCGGTTGTCGGCCGCCAGCAGCTGGGCGTAGCGGCCCCTCGAGATCAGCTCCTTGGAGTACCTGGGAGATCAGTCAGGAGGGGCCGGGCGGTGCAGCACGCGCAGGCCGCTTTTTGCTGGTGGTAATTAAAAACTCGCCACGGGGTGTTCACCCAGGAGGGCCAAGGAGCTGCACTCCCAAATCCTCCATGGCGTCCGCAAAACGCCCCCCTCCTCCACCAGGCCACCAGCGCCTCACCCGGCTTTCTGGTAGAGCTCTGCCAGGTTGAACTTCCCGGTGACAACGCCGATGGACCCCGTGATGGTGAGGGGCTGCGCCACAATGGCCTGGGCGCCCATGGACATGTAGTACCCACCAGACGCTGCAACATCACCTGCAGTGGTAGGCAGAGGAGTGCTTGCTGTGAGAGGTTTGCTGTCAGCTGGGAGTCACCTCTCAGCCGGCTTGAGCACCCTGGCGACGACATCGCACTCGAGTGTCCACAGGTGGCCGCGCCGCGGCCCAACCTCCCCTTGCACTACACGGGCAGCTGAGGCCAGTGCCACGCACCCATGCATGCGATGACAGGCTTCTTCAGCCCCAGCTGCTTGATTTCACGCCACATCAGGTCCGAGGCCAGCGCGTCACCCCCGGGCGAGTCCACGCGCAGCACCACCGCCGCCACGCCCTTGTCCTTGGCCAGGGCCCTGATTTTGAGTGCGGGACAGCGATCAAAAGAGTAAGTTGTATCAGTCACTACTGGTGTGTCAGGACGGAGCTTGAACACATGCCCATATTTGAAGACATGCAAGAGTTTAAAGCACTCGCCTTCCGGCCCGTAATGGCGGATACCCGGGTTGGTGGCTTTGAGCCGTGCACGCACTCAAAATACAAGCACTGTCGCTGGGAGTGGCCCACCCCCCAGGCCCGCACCTGAGCTTGGGGATCACTGCGTCAGGCGTAATGGCACTGCCGGTGCCGCTTGACTGGCCTAAGAGGGACATGGGGAGCGCGGAGAGGAGAGGACCGGCGTTGGCAAGGGCCCGAGTTTGTCAGCCAGTTCACGTTGCACGGCAACATTCACGGGACGTAGCAAGCTGCCGCACTGCACCGGCATCATGAAGCCCCTCTCGCCCCGAATACCGCCTTGCAGCCACGAGCTACCCCCTACCGCTCACCCAGGATGGCGCCGCTGGTGCGCAGCACTGCAATGCGCTTCTTGCCGTCCAGGCCAAAGGTGCCGCGCCTCACGGCTGCGTACTTGCGGAGCCCGACCTTGGTCACCTGGTCCTCCTTGCCGCCAGTCCTCTTCTTGAGGTCGTCGATGATCTGATCCTCGTAGCGCAGCCCGCTGATCCACCCCCCTGCCGATGACGGTGGTGAGAAAAGGTGGAGCGCTCAGGTTTTGGTTTCCACAGGGTTCAAACATGATGTGACCAGCAAGCGCCAGCTCGTATCTGCGACAACTGGCGCCATTCGCCCTGGTATTGAGACCACCCCAGAGGCCACGCTCAGATGTCGTCAGGCCCTGCAACCTCGGATCACTCTGTCTGCGGCTGCCTTCTCCCCAACCCCCCAAAAACGCGGCCCCCTCACCCTCCTCCAGCCTCTTGTTGTCATACACCCCCTCGTCCAGCAGCGCCACCACCTCGGCCTCACTCTTGCCGCGCGCCCGGGCCACCGTCTCCACCCAGTGCTGGTAGATGTCCTCCAGCAGGGCGTCAAGCTGCTCACGCTGCTCAGGGGACCTGGCGGGGCGGCCATCATGGGAGGGTGCAGCACGCATGTCAGACCGTGTTGGGAGCCAGCCATCAGGCTCTTGGCAGCTGGTCCCCAAACCCCAACAATACCAGCGCTGATGACCGACACGTACATCCAGCACCCCCAGGACCAGCCAGGCAATGCCGCCTGTGCCAGTGCCAGTGGCTGACCCCACTCCTCAAGCCACCCCGTCTCCCTGCGCCGCACCCCGCCCCTGTCTCGACCCCACCCCTCAGACTCACATGTCCTTGCGCAGCAGCTGGTCTCCCGCGCTCTTGTAGGCCCCGATGCGCTTCACCTGTGGCTCAACCCCCACCTTGTCCAGCACACCACGCAGGAATGTCCCTGAAGGGGGGGCCCGGACGAGCAGGACGGGTGGCGCAATCACACATTACTGAGTAAGCTTTTCGAAGGTGCAGCCGTGGCACCGAACCCCACGAGTTACCATACGCGCGCCGGTGCATGTGCCTCCTGCGACCTTCACCCCACCTGCGCCTCCCACCCACCTGCGACGCTGAAGCCCGCGAGGCGTATGCTGGCGGAGGGCGGCACGTAGATCTCCTGGAAGGCTGACGCCAGGTAGTACTCCTTCTCGGTGGCGATCTTCATGGTGCACAGGCTGAACTTGCCGCTGGCCCTGGGGGGCAGAAGGGGGA